TTTAGGACCAAAGTATTTTCACCCTTTGGGTGCTCCATAAGCAAGATGTCCTTTCATGACTACCTTTCTATTCCACTGGGGTTATTAATGACCAAATTAGGCTTTTCTGGATTTGCCCAAGAAGGAGCCAGAGTGATGCTGCGCTGTCTGAAGGAGTGTGATGATGTGGCAGTGGCCTCAGCCAGCCCCCAGCATGGTGCTGCCTGCCTGAGCACTACCAGCTCTGGAAAGTTTAGCTCTGAAAGAGCCACTCTCCTTGACCTATTTATTTGTGCCTGTATTTGTGGCCTGTGTTGTGTCCTGAGGAAGAGATCGTGCTGCTTGAAGGCCCTTTATTTTTAGCCAGCCCAGTTTCTTGTTGCAGCTTAATGGGAGCTGGTCCTTTCTGCTCAGCTCCATCACAGCTCATGCCCTCCTGCATTTGCCAGCTCTTAGCCAGGTCCCTGATGCTTTTTGTATATTGATCACTCACTCAGTGGGTTTCCTACCCTCGCTTTCACCGGGCTTCATTCCCTCACCTTTAGCTTCTGCTCGGTCTCTCACACTGCTCCAGGTCTATGGCTTAAGTTGATCACTCACTCAGTGGGCTTCCTACCCCCGCTTCCACAAGGCTTCATTCCCTCACCTTTAGCTTCTGTTCAGTCTCTCACACTGCTCCAGGTCTATGGCTTAACCTCTGATTTCCCTCTGCCCTTGGCTTGCAGCAGGGACCGGGCTTTCACAACCAGAGGTTGCCAGGCTTGTCCTGGATAGCAGCACCCTTCCACAAACAAAACCTCCCCTCCCATCTGCTCCACTAACCCTGGCTAGTGCTTTCCCTCCTCACAAATGTCAGGAAATTGGAGATGATGTTCTAGCCACGTAAAATCAGTCGCTGCCTCTTTGGCCTGGCTTGGCCCTGCTTTTTCTACCTTTACCTAGGGCAGGAGGGACTGTTGTTTTCTGCTGAATGTGGAGTAATGGTTTATTGATACAACCCATCCTGTCCACACCAGTGATATATCTATTTCTCTCAGCCCATCCACATAGCCCAGAGTGGTGGTTCGTGCTCAGAGTTAGGTCACAGAGCAGTGGGCTCAGAAATCCAGACCAGGATAATATTTCTCTTCTGTGACTGTGGAGCAATAGGTAAGGACTCCAACTCGCTCCTGGATCTGGGTGAACTGCCTTAGGAACACCACCAATATTTGTTTCATTTTCTGAACGGGTCAGTCCTGCATGGGCTGTGTGCAGTTTCTATCAGAAGCTATAGCTCCAGGACAAGAAGAAATTCATTATGAGGACTGCAGATTACATTGCAGACTGCCTGTATTGTTCCCTGGACTATTACCAGAAGGCACAGTGTGATTGAAGGAGTAGGAGCTGTTATAAGGTCCTATTTCTTGGAAATCTTTGGGGCTGTATTCACTTAATTTAAAATACAGCTACTGTTGGAAGCCAAACAGCATCACCTTTTCAGCTGTAGGAAGCGTAACACAATCGGTAAAGGTTACTGGGGGCTAAATCCTTGCTGAAAATCAAGCCAGCTCCTACTTGTGTCCTTGCAAAGTATTTCTCTTGGGAGCCCTGCTAATTCTCCAGGCGCTGGACATGGGGGAAGGTTTGATCCAAGCGGCTGCTCTGCACCATCCCTGCCTCCTGTCCCCACCGCATCGGCTCGGTTTTATGTGCCAGCAAAGCAGTAATAGGGATCAGTCTCTAATGCATCCGTGATTACATGGAAATTGAAGTGTGAGAGAGAAAAGAAATGAGGCAGTTGAGAGACGTGACTCTGACTCCCAACCCCTCTCCCTGCTGCTAGCGTCACCCCAATGGCCAATATAAATGATACTAAATGGGTATATTTTCCAGTGTCTGGTGTTGATGGGCAACAAATCATAGGCAATACTTAGCTGTTTCCCTCCAAATGGCTTTATCTAGACCTTCATATACTCCCTACTTTGATTTTTTTGGCTCCTTATTAAGGAGAAATGTGCAAGGAGGACGGCTGTTGATGATACATGAGCCAAGAATAGATTCCAACTCCTCTTACCATTTTGGCACCAAACTGCCAAGAGGGATGAGACTCCCTGTAGTAACCACTGTTCATTTTGAGGCAGCAACTAGAAAATACAGCTCTGACTGAGTTAGGGAGAAGAAGGGGTGAGCCTTATGATCTGTGCATTGTCTGTTTATATTGCTGGATCGAATGGGATCTATATAGAAATGGAAATGGCATATTCCCATCCAGTGAAGGAGTAAAGTGGTGTCCTTATGTCTATGGCTCTGTGCTGGTCTCCCCTTGACAAGGTTGTCCTCAGGCAACCAAGGTGTAAGGCTACCTTTGCAGTGCTTCTCTGCCCCATAGCTTCCAGTTTCTTCTTTAGCTGCTGCCTCCTAATTCCTCAAGGAAAACAAAAGCCTGAGCATATCCTCTATGCATCTCACTCCTTCACTTCCCTAGCAGGGAAGTGTCCCTCCTGGGAACACATCCTGCTTTTCTTGAGCTGAGGGAAACATTAAATAAGAACGTTAAAAACAAGGCTTGTTAGCAAAGCCAAAGGTGGAAAGCTTGCAGGACTGTGAGCTGGAGCATTTGGCTGGGCCGCCTGTAAGCGACAGCACTACTCTTCCTGTACATTGGTACCTTCTGGGAAACAGCTCAATGTGAATGTAGGAAAAGCCAAATCCTCAATTTCATATGGAAGAGAATTGTCAGAGCTGTTGCAGTGTTTGAGGGTGCAAGTACATCTGCTTCCACCAAGATGTACTTATCTGCGTTGGACTCAGGGTAGGATGTGATAATGAAAGTCTCTCTTCCTCTATCTCTCTTTACACAAGCATTTGCAAGTCTTCCAGCAGCATTCCCTGCTTTTCTCTCTTATTGCTGCCTGGAGCAGCAAGCTGGAGGTGCAGATGGGCTTTGGGTATTGCATCTGTTCAGTAAATGCAGTTATTTGGAGTCCATGGTAGCTACGAGTTTCCTTCATACCAGTCTTGTTATGAAACTTGCTGCAGGATCAGCCCAGGACCGGGCTGTCAGGAACTTGGTGCTGTGCACTGTGCTATAGATATGCTGAGGATGTGCACTGGAAGAGCACAGAGCTCCTGAGAGAGCAGCAGTTCAGCAGCAAGGAATAACTGTCAGCCTTGTCTACTCTTATTAATCATAAGGGAACTATGTCAGAGCAGAATCTTTGGAGGCTTCTGAGTGTAAAAGTGCAAGCTGTGAGGACTTTTGGCATCTCTGAGAGTCATGGGAAGCAAGTATTAGTACGTTTATATCAGAGGTGCAAGAAAAAGGCCCTCCTCTGGTCTGCTTGCCTGCCCGGACATGTCAGAACAACAAGTTGTGATCTCCCAGCCCTGGCAGGAGCCACATCTCTTGGTGTAATCACTAAACCCCACCACCTTTGCTGTGAAAACAGCAACAAGGCTTCTCTTCCAAAGAGCCTGTTCACCAACGTGTGCCATTACAGCAAGCACTGGCTGTGAGCACAGGCGTGATGGAGTTATTCCTGCTTTGGTCCAAAAGCTGACACCCGGGGAGATACATGACATACCTGCCCTGGCTCTGTTGCTTCTCCATCGTTATTTTGGGAATAGGTGTTTCAAATGAGATGTGTGTTTAGGAGGACGCTGTCCTCCTTCCCAGGCAGTGGGATGCAGCTGCGCTGCACAGCTCCCTCCCATTTGTTGTCCCTTGAAACTTCAAGCAGTGTGAACAAAGCCCATGCAGTTTTAAAGGGAGCCCAAGTAAGATGGGGCCAGTGTGTTATATTGGGTAGATCCTGTCATCTAGCTGGATTATTTTTAATTTTTTTCATTACTGTTTGCAGAACAACAGCAAAATGTGCCTTGGAAAATATACATTACGCTGCGCTTGCCTGTGATTCATACTGCTTTTATAGAAGCAGTCAATAGTGCTATCTGCCTCATTCCCACTCCCAGAAGGCTATCACTCGCATATATATTTCCTTTCTTGCTCTTATTCCTCTAATCTTTAATTTCTGTGGCTTTCTTCCCCCCCGTATGAATTGCACTTTTTCTCTGCTGCGCCAGGATCTCTGATTTCTGGTGATGTTTTGTCAGCCTGCAGGGCACCATGAGAACTGCTAAACTCCACACATTAGCAAAAATAGAAGGAAATAAAATAAGAAGATTCCATCCATAAGCGACATGGGGATGAGGGAAGTTTTTTTGCCTCTTCCCTTAATGTTTGCGTAGGGCTTGACTGCAGCTCTCTTGCCCCTTTTCCCTGCCTCCCCCTGAAGCACAAGCTGAGTTGGGACCAGTTCAGTCTCTGTGTTTAGCTGGCACAAGCACTGATCCAGCAAGCACAGTAAAAAGCAGAAGGTGGCAAGATTGCATCATGTTGCTCTGCTTTGAGGTGTTGGGTGATGTCATTCAGTGTGCATAGATGTAGCATGGTTTTTGCAAAATAGGGATCTTAATTCCCCAGTGGGTGAATCTACACTGGAAGAGGTAAAATGGCAATAGTGGAGCTGCACTGGAGGTGGTTTTGGTCCAGTAGCTGAAAATATCTCTGTTGATTAATGCAGTGTCCATGAGTCTCAACAGGCTCCTGTGCCGAGGGGATATGATTTTGTCCAGGGTTCAGCTGCCGCCCTTCATGGATAAGGCTCTGAGGATGGCAGATGCTGTAGTTTGGCTACATCCTTAGGGAGACAAGCTCCAGGTTTGGCTGAAGCAAAAAAAAAAGGAAGCAGGAATTCACCTGCAGCAAATAAACCAGGAGCCAATGAGCTGCTCCTGGACAGCCCATCCCATGCTGCTCCCTCCCAGTGCCCTGGGCTGGTGTGGGGCAGCAGTCGGGTGGGATTTAGTTCAAACTCTCGTTCTGTCAGGGCTCATTGTGATTGTTTTAATGGCTTCTTTCAGCTCGACCTATCTAAGAGCAGAGGGCAAAGCTCTGACACATCCGTCTCCCCAAAAAGCTGCAGACGGCTCCTTGCTGACGGCTGCATCCCCACTCCTGGCAGCCGCCGTCTCGGCCCCCTATGCTGTTGGGGATGAGTGCCTGCAGCAGGAAGGCACTGACCCTGCTCAGCAGCGTGTTCGCTGTCTGCGGCCTCGGCCTCCTGGGCATCTCTGTCAGCACCGACTACTGGCTCTACCTGGAGGAGGGCATCGTCCAGCCCCAAAACCAGACTGCTGAAATCAAGCTGTCGCTGCACTCGGGGCTCTGGAGGGTCTGCTTTCTGGCAGGTATGGTCTCCTTCCCCAAAGCATCCCTCACTAAGGTGATATTTGGTGTGTGTCGGTGTCATACTGTGCGAAAGGGATGGGGAAAACCAGGATTTGTAGAGGCTCTGCCCATCTTTGCTTCCAAACTCAGGCACAACCTTCGGTAAGTAATGCCATTGCCCCATGCCCAGCTTTAATAGTCAGATGGATAAACGTGTCTTTGCAAATAGGCTTTGGGTGAGTTTGCTGCTGCCGTGCCAGATTCCACTGCCCCATCCCTTTCCATCCCAGTGCCACAGTGCCTCAGGCAGCAGCTCAGCACTTTCCTCTTTTTCCTTGCAAAATCTAGATTCAGGTCAGCTGGACCATTCCCCCCATCCATGCCAAGTTGGATGAAGTGACTTGGCTGCAGGAGTTGAATAAAATCCAAGGGGATGGAAATCTCAAAGTGAGCAACCTGAAATGTCATGAAGTTTCAATGGCTGCTTTTAAAAAGTTGGGGGAGTGAGAAGCTCTGATAACACCCCTGGGGTGACCTTACACCCTCTGCCTTGACATGGTTTTGTGTACAAGGGGAATCCTTTTGCACAAGAGAGGTGGTAGTTAAGACATGTCTGTAGTTAAGGTCTGTGTCGCTGCAGGTGAAGAGCATGGCCGGTGCTTCACTATTGAATACATCATGCCCATGAACATCCAGCTGACGTCTGAATCCACAGTCAATGTCCTGAGTAAGTGGTTCGGTGGAGTCTTATCTGTTGCATCCCACAAAGGGTCACTGGGGATCCCCTCAAGAAATCCTCTTTGGGTCCTTGACACAAAGCTCCCAGTTCCTTGACAGTGCTACCATGCAAGGGTGCCACTATGTTCTTCATTACACGAATCACCCAATATGCTCCTAAGCTTTTGGGAACATGCCTTTCTAATGGGATGGTGCTCACAGAAGCTCTAAACCGTACAATTTCCTCTCACTGGCTATTCAGCACTGATGTTTATGGAAGCGTTTGGCTTTTATGTCTCCTCTCCTTAATTTGCAGTTGCACTTGTTCTGTAGCAGTCAATTTCACACGTTACAAAGTGGGACGAATTAAGGATGGGGTGTCACAGCTGTCGCAGTGAATTCTGTGGTCACTTCTTATTTAGCAGATAAAAGTGTTCAGCAAACAGTTTTACAGCAAAGCTAGAGGAGAATGCAGGTTCTGATGTACCGTTTCACATAGAAACCCTCAGAAATGCCAACATTAGCAGCCAGACAGAGTCACCTCTTTACTCAGCTCATCATCGAAGAGGGGAAGCACTGCCAGGGCCTGGGGAGCAGCACAGGGCCACCCATGTTAACCAGGAGCAAGGAAGGACACAATGTGGTGGGAGAGCAGCAGGGCTTAAGCCACCTCACCCAGACAAGCCCATTTCTCATACTGTGTGGGGAGGATTGACCCATTCTCCTTTGCTCTGCTTCCTTCCCACCAGAGATGATCTGCTCTGCCACCCCCTTCCCTCTGGTCAGCCTCTTCTTCATGTTCATTGGCTTCATCCTGAGCAACATTGGCCACATTCGGCCTCACAGGACCATCCTCGCCTTCGTCTCGGGGATATTCTTCATCCTGTCGGGTGAGTTTTTCTATCCAGGTTTAATCCTGAAAATCCTTGAGCATGGAGCATGTTTGTTTTCGTAGCTGCTGGTGCTCTCCTAAAATGCTGTGGTGTGGAGTCATCACCTGCGGGGTCTCCTGGCTCAGCACCAGTGCCTGGTTGGGCTTTGCAGGGTGGACAGTCACCTGGTGCAAAACTCATTTGTGGCAGTGGAGAGAAGATCTGGGGAGAAGCACCCACCACCCGTGCAGGAGGAGAGGCTGGGGAGAGGAGGCTTCTCATGTCGTGTTGGCCACAGGAGCGAGATGAACCTTCAAACTGCTCAGCCAGGGTGTTTCTCCATGAGCTCACACTTTCAGCCACAAATCAGGTCTTAAAGGAAGGTGCTTCTTCAGCAGCTTCATCCCTGAAGCACTTCCCACTGTCCTTGGTTTCTCCCCAGGTCTGTCCTTGGTGGTGGGGCTGGTCCTCTACATATCCAGCATTAACGACGAGATGCTGAACAGGACCAAAGACTCGGACACGTTCTTCAATTACAAATACGGATGGTCGTTTGCTTTCTCTGCCATCTCATTCCTTCTCACAGAGGTATGTGGCAGTCCTCACACCCCTTTAATGAGTATATCCTGTTCTTGGGAGGGGGACATTGAGGCTGTCAGCAAAAAGAGGGCTCAGGGTTTAAGGATAGGCTGTGAGGACAGATGAGTAATATATAGTCTGGTGGGAGACATACAGCGGGATCGGACTCCAAGCTTGGAGCACTGATGGGGCATTTGATCACCATTTGATGCCGAGCTTGAAATGCAGAGGAGGAGGAGACGTGGTTGTGTGGATCTGAAGCGCAGGGCAGTGAAGTGACTGTCCTCAGGAGCCCTTGTGCACTGTCAGCAGAGCAAAAAAAAGCGACTTGTATTTTCGTCGTGTTCTGGTGGTGGTGAAGGAGGCAGCTGTGAGCATCAGGCCATTTCTGTCTATCCCTGCAGAGTGCCGGGGTGATGTCCGTTTACCTCTTCATGAAGCGATACATGGCTGAGGACATCTACCGACCTCACCCCAGCTTCTACCGTCCCCGTCTGAGCAACTGCTCCGACTACTCGGGGCAGTTCTTGCACCCGGATGCCTGGGCGCGGGGACGGAGCCCTTCGGATATCTCCAGCGAGGCCTCCTTGCAGATGAACAGTAACTACCCTGCTCTGCTCAAGTGCCCTGACTACGACCAGATGTCCTCGTCCCCATGCTGAGCCCTACCAGCCTTGCGCCTGCTCCCACCCAAGCGCCGATGGTTGCTGACTCCGTTTGTCATTGGTTTTTAGGCCACTCTTTCAGGACAATTCTCTATTTATAGGAGTGTAAATATAACCAGGGAGATTGGTTATATAACCATCAATGAAACCCAGAGAATTGGGATGTTTTCCTTTGGTTTTGTGGCTTTTTTTTTTTGTTTTAATTCTTCCCTGCATAACTAAAATCTTTCCAAAGTCCTTTTCCTTCAGCTCATCCTGCTGAGCAAACAGCAGTTCTGCCTGCGGGATAAATCCAGGGCTGGACTCAAGAGCAGCAAAAAGAAAATAGGGTAGAACTAAAGGGGAAAATAAAACATTTTCTGGTTTAGGTAGGCTGCAGAAGTTTGTGCATTTGACTGTATCATTTAATTCTAGATTCACTGGCCTAAGTGTAGCAGGCATCAAAGATTGGTGTAAATCTTCAAGAAATAGCCATCATTAGAAAAATATAGGTTTTGTATTGATCCAATATTCACTGCTTATGTCTCCCATAATACCCATCTTTCTCAACTGTACCTCAGCAGGCTTAGACACAAGCAGGTTGTTGTTTCATTATGACCACTTGCAAACTATTGCTTAAATATCCTGTGTTAGACTGAAGGCACTACAGCCCTGGGGTGTTCAGGCTGCTGGGGTGGCTCAGACACCCACATTTCTTCCACTATCCCACAGACTGGAGGTCTGAAGAGCAGCTGGGAGAATTTCAGTGCAGCGTCAAGTGGAGAACCTAAAACCTTCCCATATGAAACATTAGGCAGAGGATTTAGAAGAAATTATGGCCAGAAGTGTGAGTTATTTCAAAGAAAGAGATCCCAAACCAGTGTAAAGTGATGTAGCTGAAATTAATGGCACTAGTAGTGCAAAGTGGTTGGCTTATATTTAATTTTGGCAAGAAAATGGTATTTAAGCTGCTTTTTTTGTCTGTGTATACACCTTATTTTGAGGTTTTAAGTTGTAAATTTCATATGATGCCTTGGCGTTTTGGTCTTAGACAGCTGCCAGGGTGAGAGCATCACTCTGAAAACAGAGGGCAGGAAAGGAAAAGGCTGGGCTCCCTCATGTGCTCCTGTGCAAGCCTTGAGCTTGTCACCCTGTGGGAGAAAACGCTTTGTCCAAACTTTATTTCTATTCTTGTTATTTTAAACATTTCTGAAAAAGAAAACCCTCCTCCAGGGATTCTTGGTATAGTTGAGCTTGTTTCATCTTACTGTAATTAAAACAAATAGAATATACGCACTTTTAACCTCATTTGTAGCATACCGTGTAATGAATGCTGCACCTCTTGTTAATATTTCATGTTTCATGTTTCATATTTAATATTTATAAGCTACTCTAAAGGAGCGTCCAAGCCCTGGCACAGCACCACTATTTGCATCAACTCTGACACCCATCCCATGGGACCTCACTGCAGGCATATATCCAGCCAGCTCTTTAACAGGATTACTTCCTCTCCAGTTCCTTCAGATAAACAAGTAAGATATATGTAGTGTCACTGACTCCTAATTTGCTAAGTTTAAAAAACAGGGCATCTTTTTGTAGACACAGTTGTATTTACCTTTAGTTTTCATATTACCTTCAAGCATCTGTGTCCTCATGTTAAAACTCAGTTTGTAAGTGCTTACATGACAAGTTTGCTGCTGGGAAGGTTCCAGCATGAAAGCCCAGCCCAGCCCCACCATCAAGCAACAAAGCTTGTTGATCCTTATCTACTTGCCCCAGCCAGATTAACCTGGGCTCTCTATGTTTGGTATGAATTAGGCTCCAAGAAAGCCCTGGAGTTCACAAGTGATGATCTTGCATTTCCCAATACAGTTTGCTAGGCTTGATATTAGTGGTTTCTGGTGGCTCAGGAACAATTGCCTTTGCTTCTTCACCTTGATGGATCCTTTATATTCTCCGTGCTTTGAGGAAGGGAGACCCGTGGGATCACTGAAATCACTGATGCTTAGAGGCAAGAGTGCTGTCCCACATGGCTACATTCCTCTGCGCTGGGAAGTTGTTTAGTGTGGTTAATCCTGTGCAACATCATGAGAATTCACTGTTCCCAAGTGGAATTTTCCTTTGTACTGGTTAAATACAGAATTATCCATTTTATAATCTGACCATCTACATAAGCAGAAGGTGTGGAAAAAAATGCCATGCCTTCCTCAATGCCCCAGAAGGTTTCACAGAGTCTAGGGGGGAAAGGAATGATTTTAATTCATTGGAGAGACTGTCATCGTGTGACTGCATTTGTGAGCCCAGGAATTTGCACGTTCGCACAGTGAGCACAAGCCCTTCATACGTACAGGGCTGCCAAAAGAAATCTGTCAAAATAAGCCTTTGCTGTTCATTCAGTAAATGTTGGTCTGAGGCAGGAAAATGTGGTGCTTAGTCAAGCACAGGCGACAGTGGTTGTGCTGCCCAGAGGTGTTGCTGTCCCCCTATCAGTGCACGGCATGGCAGCAGCTCTCAGCATGGGCCTCTAATTGCAAGTATCACACCTTCATTGACTGTGCAGAAACTTCTCCAGAGCCTCTGAGGCAGGAAGACATGAACGAGGTGTGGGTGAGGTGGGGGGGTGAGCCGCAGAGCCCAGCCACCCTGCGAGGTCCATCTTTCCTGAGCATCACTCCGTGGCTGATGTTCTCCACAGCAATAAATGCTCAGTAAATAAATGCAGTACCCCCTTAGGATGCCTATTCATCATTTAAACACCTCTTGTAGTCATCTGGTGTGGTTATACACAGGTTGTGCCACATCCTTCTCCCCTTAATAACCATCCAGTTGCCTCCTTTGGCCTCTCTCCCACCCCTATTTCAGTGCTGGCCTCCTGCTATGTTCTTTCTGTGTCTGTTGCTTGGATTGCAACAGATAAAAAGTAGAGTTTGAGGGTAAACTAGCAATTACATTAGAGCCCTTAAATTCAGCCAACGGGCCAAGTCAAGCTGCTTACAGACCCATAGGAAGGTAATTGCTCACCTGATGCTTCCCAGGAAAAAAATGGTTTGTACTGAAAACCAAAAACCCCTTGTTTTGCATGAGTGACTAATGGGTGCCAGGCTCTTTGTGCATGTGGCTGTGCTTGCTTGAACCACAGTGTTAGAGCAAATTACTGGGATTAAGGGTTAAATAAAAACCTGGCGCTGCCTGAGCCATGCACAATTCGCTGCTCCCTGGCGCTGCTCAGGATTGCAGCGGGATGAAGCTTTTTCTGTCCCTGCCACCAGCCTCCCACCCAGCACACACATCCATCCTTGCAGCCCGGGTGTCGTATGGATTTCACAGCACCAGGAGAGATGGATGGTAACTGAAGAAGCTGCACATGGGAGGTGAGTGAGCCCCCAGCCCGCACTGGTTGGGAAGACAGTGTTCTGAGACCTCCTTGGGCATCTCCTGGGAGCCAGCCTCCCCCTGTGTGTTTGGGGCTTTTTAAATCAAATTCCCTTTCTGCAAGCCCAGGGAGGCGTTCTGTGGTCTGTATGTCCCAGGATATGAAAGCTCCTCTGTGCTAGCATCTCCCTCCTACCCCCAAGGTATGATTTCCTCATTGCACCTTATACCATGTCCTTCCCATGGCCCCAGGTGTGATGGGACTGTGGTGGCAATAGGCTTCATTTGCTCATTAGTTAGGAGTGCCCTGAAATGCTTAATTGAATCATGAGGTATGGATGCATTGGATTCATTAGAGACCAATCATGAGCAGTAATTAAGTAGCTAGGAATAACAAGGCTGTGCTGGGTCATGTTCTCCCTCAGTTGCTGCTGGAGCAGCTTGTGGCTCCAGAGTCCTTTTTTGCACTGAGGAAAAAAGTACCATTTTATATATGTAAATCAAATATATTATACAAATCATATATATAAATAATAGGGATAACTGAATTGACCTCCAGTGCTGCTTCTCTTGCACTGAGGTTCCTAGTGGACATGAGGAGCCACGGGGAAGGCTGAGGTGAGGCAAGAGCCTATGCTGGGTAGTAGCCTCCTCCCTGCAAGGATGCAGACCAAGAGCATCACTGAGCTATTTTGGCTGCTGGTGAAGCTGCTGCTGTGGTGAGTTGAGGTTTGGGCAGATGTTTTGGGGCAACCTGGTTCTGCTCTTGCCCAGGAGGATGACATGGAGCTCATGAGGGCAGGGGGAAAGCACATCCCTACAGATGGGGAGCCAACAGACCTTACTGTTGCTTCTCCTGGACACAGGACTGAGGACCTGTGCCCTTTCATCAGCTTCAAGCAGGCAAGACCCAAAGGTATTCTGTAAGGATGGGTTTTAGCCGTGCATCACTGTGGTAGTGTAAAGAACTGACTCAAGCAGAGCATGTGCAGTCTGGGGATTTCTAGTACCCAGTGCTCTGCTTTGCAAGTCCTTGCACTGCATTATTAATACTATTTGTCAGGGTTGTGTATTCATTTTCCCAAATGTGAGTTAGCCCCATGGGGTCTTCAAGGTGTGCAAAGAAATTAAATAGCCTTATTCCTCCCTGCTGGTAGCTTGTTAGCTGTGCAGAACTGGCATGCCCGTGGTGGGGATGCTGTGTGAGAAGGCAAAATATTCACCCAAGTAAATACTCCTCCACTAATGAGAAGTAGCTGAGAGAGATTTATTTTCTTCTTGTTCCTTCCTTATGAGATTTATTTATTTACTTCCATTTTTTTTCCCCACCGCAGAAGACTGATATTCAAACTTAACTAGAAAAAACAGCATTTGCCTTCCTCACTTTTTCTTGTCCAGTTTTAGGGCCTCTTGGAGGGGTCCCCTTCACCCTGCTGAAGCATCTCTTACTGCATGGGCCAGGTTGCTCTGCCAGCTCTTTGTCCATGAGAACCACATTATGTCTTTAACTTTCCTGTGCAAATTGGCTGTCCTGCACACACGAAAGCTGTGGCTCCTTGCATGGGGAGCAGGGTGTCCCCAGCACCCCAGTGTGTGCCACCCTACATGCCCTGCCATGGTGAGGGTCCTTGGCTGACCTGTCCTCCATGCACTGCAGGGTTTCTGTCT